ATACAGGGCTACCTAAAAAAGATAGAAACATTTCAAACAAACAACCTAACCCTACGCCTACAAGAACTCGAGGGACAACAACAAAGACAGCCCAGAGCAAGCAGAAGGAAGAAAATAACTAAGATCAGAGCAGAATTAAATGACATAGAGACTAAAAGCACAATTCTAAGGATCAATGAATCCAGGAGCTGGTTCTTTGAAAAGATAAACAAAATTGACAAGCCTTTAACCAGGCTCATCAAAAAAGAAAAAAAAAGAGAGAGAGAGACAGAGAGACAGAGAGAGAAAGGATCCAAATAAACACAATCAGAAATGAAAGAGGAGAGATTACAACTGACACCACAGAAATTCAAAGGGTTGTAAGAAATTACTATGAAGAACGGTATGCCAGAAATTTGAAAACCTAGGTTATATGGACAAATTTCTAGAAAAATATAATCTTCCAAAACTCAATAAAAAAGAAGCAGAAAGCCTGAACAAACCAATAACAGCAGATGAAATTTGAAGCAGTAATCAAAAAAACTCCCAACACACAAAAGCCCAGAACCAGAGGGCTTCACAGGAGAATTCTACAAAGCATTTAAGGAAGAGCTAACCCCTAACCTCCACAGACTATTCCAAAAAATTCAAAATGATGGAAGACTCCCAAACTCTTTCTATGAAGTCGACATCATCCTAATCCAAAAACCAGATAAAGACACAACAGAGCAAGAAAACTTCAGGCCAATATCGCTCATGAACATAGATGCTAAAATCCTCAACAAAATATTGGCAAACCGCATCCAACAATACATTAAAAAGATCATACACCATGACCAAGTGGGATTCATCCCAGGGATGCAAGGATGGTTCAATATTCGCAAATCAGTAAATGTAATACATCACATAAACAAAAGCAAGGACAAAAATCACATGATCATAATAGATGCGGAAAAAGGATTTGATAAGGTACAGCACCCATTTATGATAAAAACACTCAGCAAAGTGGGAATAGAGGGAGCATTCCTCAACATAATAAAGGCCATATATGAGAGACCTACAGCCAACATCATACTCAATGGGCAAAAATGAAAACCTTTTCCACTAAGATCAGGAACAAGACAAGGTTGTTCACTTTCACCGCTTCTATTCAATATAGTACTGGAAGTTTTAGCCACAGTGACCAGACAAGAAAAGGAAATAAAAGGCATCAAAATCGGAAAGGAGGAAACAAAACTGTCATTGTTTGCAGATGACATGATAGTGTACATGGAAAATCCTATAGACTCCACCCCAAAACTGCTTCACCTAATAAACGAATTTGGCAAAACAGTGGGATACAAAGTCAATATCCAGAAATCAAAGGCATTTTTGTATAGCAACAATGAAACAACAGAAGCAGAAATCAAGAAAAAAATTCCATTCCATATAGCAAAAAGAAAAAATACCTAGGGATAAATCTAACCAAGGAAGTAAAAGACCAGTATACAGAAAACTACACAACACTGAAGAAAGAAATCAAGGAAGACACAAACAAATGGAAACATATACCATGTTCATGGATTGGAAGAATTATCATCAAAATGTCCATGCTACCCAAAGCAATTTACAGAGTCAATGCAATACCTATTAAAGTACCAATGGCATATATCACAGACATAGAACAAACATTTCAAAAAATCTATGTGGAACCATAAACGATCCCAAATAGCTGCTGCAATTTTGAGAAAGAAGAGCAAAATAGGAGGGCATCACAATACCTGATACCAAACTGGATTACAAGGCCACTGTAATCAAAACAGCCTGGTACTGGCATAAGAACAGGCACATGGACCAATGGGACAAAACAGAGAGCCCAGAAATAAACCCAAGTCTCTATGGTCAATTAATATTTGACAAAGGGGGCAGCAACATAAAATGGAGTAACAATAGCCTCTTTAACAAATGGTGTTGGGAGAACTAAACAGCTATGTGCAAAAAAGTGAAACTCGAGCACCAACTTACACCATACACAAAAATAAATTCAAGGTGGATAAAAGATTTAAATATAGCCCTGGCTGGTATAGCTCAGTGGATTGAGCGCGGGCTGTGAACCAGAGTGTCGCAGGTTCGATTCCCAGTCAGGGTACATGCCTGGGTTGTGGGCCATGACCCCCAGCAACCGCACATTGATGTTTCTCTCTCTCTCTCCTTCTCCCTTCCTTCCCTCTCTAAAAATAAATAAATAAAATCTTAAAAAGAAAAACTAAACTAAAATGTAAAAAAAAATAAAAAAAAAGATTTAAATATAAGCCGTGACACCATTAAAGTCCTAGAGGAGAACATAGGCAGGAAAATCTCAGATATTTCATGCAGCAACATTTTTACTGCTATGTCCCCCAGAGCAAGGGACATAAAGGAAAGAATAAACAAATGGGATCTCATCAAAATGAAAAGCTTCCGCACAGCTAAAGAAAACACTATTAAAATAAAAAAGAGAACCAACTGTATGGGAAAACATATTTGCCAATGATACCTCAGACAAGGGTTTAATCTCCAAAATATATAAAGAACTTACACAACTCCACTCTAAGAAGACAAGCAACCCAGTTAAAAAATGGACAAAGGACTTGAACAGACACTTCCCCAAGGAGGACATACAGAGGATCCAGAGACACATGAAAAGATGCTCAATATCGCTAGCTATCAGAGAGATGCAAATTAAAACCACAATGAAATACCACTTCACACCAGTCAGAATGGCCATCATAAACAAAGCAACAAACAACAAGTGTTGGAGAGATTGTGGAGAAAAGGGGACCCTAGTGCACTCTTGGTGGGACTGAAGACTGGTACAACCACTATGGAAAGCAGTATGGAATTTTCTCAAAAAACTAAAAATGAATCTGTCTTTTGACCCAGCAATTCCACTGCTAGGATTATATCCTAAGAACCTTGAAACACCAGTCCAAAAGAACCTATGCACCCCAATGTTCATAGCAGCACAATTGAAAATAGCTAAGTGTTGGAAGCAACCTAGGTGCCCATCAGTAAATGAATGGATCAAAAAACTATGATACATTTACACGATCGACTTCTATGCAGCAGAAAGAAAGAAGGAGCTCCTACCCTTTGCAACAGCATGGATAGAACTGGAGAGCTTTATGCTGAGTGAAATAAGTCAGGGTGGTGAAAGACAAATACCATACGATCTCACCTTTAACAGGAACCTAAAGAACAAAACAAAGAAACAAGCAAAACATAACCAAAGACACTGAAACAGAGAACAGTCTGACACTGTTCAGAGGGGAGAGGAGAGGGAATTTCAGGGGAATTTCAGGGGAAAAGGGGGAGGGTTTACAGGAAGAAGTATAAAGGGCACATGGATAAAAATTAGGGGTAGGTGGAAATGGGAGGGAGAAGGGGAGGGCTGGGTGGGTGGGTTGGCATGGGAGCAAAAGATAGAAAACTGTACTGCAACAACAATTAAAATACAAAAGATTAAAAAAGAAAAAATTAAGAAGATAAACAAAAAATAATTTAAGCCCTTCAAATACTGAACAGGGTGGTACTGTTTGAAACCACGACTGACTGAAGAAGTTTCTCCCTCTCAAGAAAGCAGAGACAAAAAGACCTAATTAGCCCTACACATAAGTAAGAATTTGAGTTTTCTGAATTTCCTTTGAAAAAGAGGAAGCTGTCTTTCTGGATGGGCAGCAAGGTGGCTGAGGAAAAGCAATGGCTAAAGTCAGGGGATCCTGAACTGTGATCACAGTCACCTAGAATGGTTATGAGATTTTTACAAAACTTCAATATCTAACATCCAGGATTTGGCTATATATCCCATCAGTCACCCTAAAAATAAAAAAACCTGCTATACTCATAGTGTTATGTTCTGAGTACTTTAGACAGAGAAGAGTAGATACTCAATGGGCTTCAACGTTGCCTTCTCCTACCTGTTTAGTGAGGGAATCGTCACTAACCTCAAATAACGTCATTTTTCTGCCCTGACCAGTGTGGCTCAGTGGGTTGGGCATCATCTCACAAACCAAAAGGTCACTGATTCTATCCCAGTTAGGGCATATGCCTGGGTTTCAAGCCAAGTCCCCAGTTAGGGGCGTGGTGCACGAGGCAACTGATCATTGTTTCTGTAACAGTGATGTTCCTTTCCCTCTCTTTTTCCCTCCGTTCCCCTCTCTCTAAAAATAGAAACAAAAAAAAATGGTAATTTTCCTCAACTCATTATCTAGGAAAATTCCCACACAGTGGAAGGGAGGGGAAATTCCAGCCTGTGGAAATTCCAGCCTGTGGAAAGGAACTGGTGTGCTTAAGGAATTCTGTGATCAGAGGGCTGGCAGAGTCCCAGAGCCCTCCCCTCTTCCCCACTCCTAGCTCCCAGCAAAGACCAGAGAAGAAGCAGGGCACTCAGGACCTGGGACAAGAGGCTGAGTATCTTGGGGGCATCAGCATTCACCACACTCAAAAACAAAACTTAGGGACTGTTCAAGGACAGTAACCTCTTAAGAAACAGAAATCTTCACCGTTTTTTCCTGGTTGCTTCCTAGGCAAAAAGCTGGCATTTTTCTTACAGAAAGTTCCAGAACCAAATATTAGGAACATAGACTTGAGTGATCATAGTGAGCAATCATCTTAACATACACTTTTGGGTGTTACCAGGGTATCAGAATTAATGACAAAAGTCAGTGTGGGGAAATGGGGGAGGGTGATAGACAAGAATGTCCCTAATGCTCTGAGCTTTGTTAACACACTGATCTAATTCCAGCTAAGATCACCCATCCTCCTCTATGTTCCCTCCCTTCTCTTCAGTTGTTCTAAGGGTTGTTTGTTTTTAATGTAGACACTTATTAAATTAAATCAAATACAAAATTAAGTTTAAAATAATTGAGATTTAATGTATTGATTTAGAACAAGAACTAAAATTAAAATACATTTTGTCCTTTAGTCCACTGGCTTCAAAGTGTGGTCCCCACCGGCATTCACTTGAGAATTTATAAATGTAAATCCTTTGGCTCCATCCCAGACCTACTGAAGTCATCCAAAAATTCTGATGCACGACAAAGTTTTGAAATCAGTGTTCTAGTCCAGTGTTCCTTAATCCTGGCTGCACATTGAAATTACCTAGTAAACTTAGAAAAGTGTCATTGTCTGTGTCCCATCCCCAGAGATTCTAATTTGATTGGTTCAGGGTATGGTTATGGATATGGGAATTTTTTTAAGTTTCTCTTATGCTTGTAATTAGAAGTCAGGACTGAAAACCATTGGTCCAGCCCACCTAACATCATCTGGGCCTTTACAGCCAAGTATAGCCACTGAAATCAAATACACTCTTAAGAGTGTGAGGGTGGGAGAGGGACTAGTCTCCCTCCCAAAAACATAAAGAACATAAAGAACATCGTGAATTTCTCATGAGCAAATGCTCAGCGAGCCACCACTGTCTTCTTCTCCAGGCAACCCAAGACAAAAGAATGGATGCAGAGGCTCCGAAGAGAATTCACTGTGTATATAAATGAGGGCATCATTTCTAACATCAAAAAACTTGATCTCTTCCACCTCAACATCTAGAAAAATTCCTATGCGGCTAAGGCCAGGACTTGTAGGAATTCTGGTGTCTGGGATGGAGCCGGAGTAGATTGCTCCCTGCTTCATGCTAATGGTCCAGAAACCATGCTCCGGGGAAAAACTCTCCTTCTTTCTGTCGACTGATTCCTTGCAGACTCCCAGAGCCCACTCCTTCCCCTCTTCCACTTCTACCTCCCAGTAATGGCGACCAGAGGAAAAGCATGGGGTGCCCAGGACACAGGGCATAGCAGCAAATCTCTGGGGATCTTCCATCAAGTTGTGGCATATCTTCCCACAGTGGACTTTCCTTAGATCCTCAGATAGGACAAGACGGGAGTTTGCAGTGGCTGCGTCCAGAGTCATATCCTCCTGGAACTTCAAGAACTTCTCTGTCACACACAGATTTTGGTTCAGGAGGAAATGGTGCTGTTTGATGAGAAGTGAGAGTATACTAACTTGCCATTCTTCCATAGGTGGTTTCTTGTTTACTCCTCGACATATGGGGCAGATTAATTTCGGCTCTTCCATTTCCTGCAACCAGTGTTGCATGCAATCATAGCAGAATATGTGCATACAGGAGAGGGAAATGGGACGGTTGAAAAGCTCCAGACAAACTGAACAGCTTGCTTCATCTCGTAGTCTTGCAAACATGGTTTCTCAAGGTCACTCCTTAGCAGTCAACTGAGCTGAAATGGCCCTTTATTGTCTTCTAGGGGCAATCAGGAGCCTTCAGTACAGTGTCTGCTCTTGAACAATCAGGCCGTACCTAAACCCAATACAAAAATTAAATAATATAAATCTTTATATAGTTTATACATGAAAGTGACACTAAGTCACCAGAGGATCACAGTAAAGGCAAAATCTATGAGAAAAGCTATGAAAACAATCCAAAATCTAGGTGGTCACAAGAGAGAAAGAGGAAAATGGATATCATCTTTTCAAGTATGGCAGTTTACCTTGTCTGGAGACTTCGAGGGGAAGTTTTATGTGTGGGAGATAAGTCCAGCTGGGTCTATAATAGGTTCTAGGAGTACGTCTCTGCCCCTAGTCAGTATTCCTTTGTAGGTCACCTGCAGTTCAAGAAAAAGAATTTCCACATTTAGATACAATCATAAAGCCAATCCTACCCTACTGATCACAGAAAAGTGCCTCTAAGGAGCCCTCAAAATTTCAAAGAAAATTACCCTATATGAGTACAACTAGCCAAAACCACTGCAAAATGAATGATATGCCCATAATAGAATCGGTTTTAAGGACAAAAACCTGGGTGACTAGAGCAACCTGGAACTCATCTCCACTCAACAAATACTTATTAGCCTTCCATGCTCCCAGCCTCAGCTAGACTCTAGAGCTACAGAGTTGTATAACGAGAGATGGGATATCTACCAAGTGTAATGTGGAATCTTTGGAACCTGTCCCACCCTGTTTCCTGAAAGGGCCTAGCTGAGCAGCAGCAGAGATCCCTTCAAAATCCCTTATCACTGGAGAGAGAAGATGGTGTTGGAGTAGGAGGGAACAGATTCCAGTAGGAGGGAACAGATTCCACTTCACCCTACACACGGGAGAAAATCCTAGCCAATCTATGGAGTAAATGAGCAAACAACCAACAGTACCTCAGCATATATGAAATTAAGAAACCAAAAATTGTAGCCGACACCAAAAAACCAGATGGTAAGGAGAGTGCTTCAGGACAATAAGGTCCCAGGGACCAGCGCAGCTGCAGCCCCAGGCCTGGTGCCCACTGGGTCTGCCATAGCATCCTTGGGAGAGAGCCAGGGCAACTGCTCCCTCCCCAGCCAAACAAAGTCTGAGCAGCACCGGGAGAAACATGGTTGCTTTAAGTTGCAGAGAGGGGAATAAGGACTAAGTAGCAAACACATAGGGACTGTGAGCACCCACCGAGTCTGTGGATGCTGGAAGAGTTGAAAGTCGTTCAGTGACAGGCCCTGACCCCAATAGTCACCGATCTGGCTGGAGAATTGGGCTGTGCAAAAGGCCAGGCCACTGTATGGAGCAGCAGGCTTAAGTAGGAGAAATTTCTCAAAAAGAAAAAGAGAAAAGACAAACACTGGGGAATTCTCCTACAGCAATTGCTCCAGCCTCCCCTCCACCCAGCTGGGCAGTGATCCTGAGATTGTGCAGAAGGTTGTGCAGAAGACCCTGTACACCCCCATAGCACTGGGAAGGGTGTGCACCCGTGGGACCAAGGCAGCCTGGCCGAGCATGTGCGTGCCCACACCCCAGCCCACAGCAGTAACCCCAGGGGGAAAGGCCTGGATCCTGCACCCAAGGCACCAGGGAGAGGCGCGAGGATAGCTCCAGGGAGAGTGCTTGCAGGCTGACTGAGTGCAGATTGGGGAGGAAGAAAAGCCATACCAATTGCCCTTCAGCCTGCTGCAGCCAGCAAGACCAGAAAAAAAGGTGTGGCCACTTTGAAATCAAGAGGCTTTTTTATCTTATTCTATTTTTATTTTTTTATAATTTTTTATTTTTTAATTATTATTTTTTATCTTTCAATTCCTTTTTTCTCTTTCCTTCTTTCTTGTTTTATTCCTTCTTCCTGTCTCTCCAATTTTATCTCTTTTTCCTCTTCTGCCTTTTTTTTTTAACACCTACAAATGAGACAAAAAATAAAAACCCTGGAACTGTAAAAAGACCAGACGTGGACCCAAAGAAGGGGTATCACAACAGCTGAAACAGTGAGAAAAATTTCACTGCTATTACAGAGAAACTGCAACTTATTGCATATTTCTATTAGTATTTTTTTTCATTATTCTTACATCTTATATTTTAATAGTATTTTTGTATTCCTCTTCTTTTGGTATAGTCTGCTTTGCTTGGCTGGTTATATTGTATCATTTGACAGGTTTCCCCTGATATCTCTTTCAGAGTGTATTGCTAATTTACTGTCCTTCACAAAACTTGTGTCCCATTAGCACACTACTCAAGGTCCTACTCCTTATCCTTCTTATCTAGATCACATAGATTCTGTCATATGACTGTTGCTCTAATATTATTGTAAATAATTCCTGTTCCATGCAATTGTAAGTACTTCACAACACCCCCTCTCCCCCCACAGACCTTAGCCCACTTCAGTTTCCTGAACTCTATTCCTGTAGTGGTTAACTCTATTCTCTCACACACTACGCTTATTTGCTATCCTCTACTCTCACCTTACTTCAGAATCTGACCTCCCAAAACCTCACTGCTTTCTAGATCCAACTCACAATCCTTCCCTCTGCAACAAAAGTCTTATCTTCTTTCCATCCTTTCTAAAAATCGTCTAGTTGGGTCGAAGATCATGGTTAACACTATACATAGTTAAAGGATCTCCTATCTCTTCTCTACTGGCTGCTACTGTAAATATCATAGAATAGTCTCTTACTGTCTTAAACCATTTTGCCTCCCCCCTCTGCCTGATCACAAAAAAGAGTAGGTGGAAGCAGTGAACACCAGGATACTCACTGGAAGAGGAAACCCAACAACAAAGGAAACACTAACAGATAACAACTGAAGAAGGTGAAGGAGGGAATGGAAACCACACAAACCTCAATCCAGGACCTATCTGGAAATACAACTAGATAGTGGAGAAAATACCCAGTACAAACAACTGAACAAGAGCAAGAGAGAATCCTCAAAACTTTGTACACATGGAAGAACCACCTTCAACAAAACCTGCCCTCACCAGCACAACAAAATACAAGAGGTGGTGCACAGAGTGACCCTCATTTAACCACCTGGTGGGAAGGAACCACCAAAGAAAGACCCAACAACAATCAAAACACAAACACAAACACAGAGCCAACTTAAATGACATCCCAAGACCAGTGAGCTTGGGAGATCAAGGAAACTGCACCACTGAATCTCACAGGTATTCTACCACAGAAGTTCACACCACAAACCCAGGGAGCCAGAACAGATCAATTTAAGAAGCTGAAGATAACAAGAAAAGACTCAAAAACAATGGGAAGACAAGGAAACAATCCCCAAATGAAAGGAAAGGAGGAAGCCTCACAAAGAATGCTAAATGAAATAGAGGCAATTCAACTATCAGATACTGAGTTCAAAGCAATGGTCATCAGGAAGCTCAATGAGCCCACAATGAGCTACCAGAAGCTACAGGGAAGCTACAATGAACTCACTGCAAACTATATCAACATGAAAAAGGAAATAGAAACTATCATCAAGGGCCAAGAGGAAATGAAGAATACAATTTCTGAACTGAAGAACACAGTAGAAGGAATGAAAAGCAGGATCAATGAAGCAGAAGATCAGATCAGTGAGGTAGAGGACAAACTAGAAAAAGACACCCAGAAAGGGCAAGAAAAGGAAAAGAGGCTCAGAAAGAATGAAGAGGGATTAAGAGAAATGCAAGACAATATCAAACATAATAATATCCATATAATAGGGATACCAGAAGGAGAAGAAGAGGAGCAAGGGATAGAAAATCTATTCAAAAACATAATGATGGAAAACTTCCCTAATTTGATGAGAGAAAAATTCACACAAATCCAGGAAACACAGAGAGTCCCAATCAAGAGGAAACCAAAGAGGCCCATTTCAAGACATATCATAATTAAAATGGCAAAATACCAGGGCAAAGAGAGAATCTTAAAAGCAGCAAGGGAGAAACAAGAAGTAACATACAAGGGAGCCCCAATAAGGTTAGCAGCTGACTTCTCAATGGAAAGACTCTAAGCCAGAACAGAATGGCAATAAATATTCCAAGTAATGAGAACCAGAGGCCTGCAAGCAAGGCTACTTTACCCAGGAAGGCTCTCAATAAAAATAGAAGGCCAAGTAAGGAGCTTCCCAGATAAAAGAAGTCTAAAAGAATACACCTCCACCAAACCAGCTCTGCAACAGATGCTAAAGTGACTGCTTTAAGGAAAAGAAGGCAAAGAGAGAGAGATAAAGAGAAAGAGGAACACAGGTACAAAAATGGCAATGAATAAGTACCTATCAGTAATAACCTTAAATGTAAATGGATTAAATGCTCCAGTCAAAAGACATAGAATAGCTGAATGGGTAAGAAAGCAGGACCCACACATATGCTGCCTATAAGAGACCCACCTCAGAATAAAAGACCTACACAGGCTAAAAGTGATTGGCTAGAAAAAAAATATTCCAAGCAAATAGACAGGGGAAAAAAAGCCAGGGTAGCAATACTCATATCAGACAAAATAAACTTCAAAAAAGGGGCCATAAAGAGAGACCCAGAACGTCACTACATAATATTCAAGGGAAGAATCCACCAAGAAGACTTAAACATTGTAAATATATATGCACCCAAAATAGAAGCACCCAAACACATAAAAAAAATCTTAGAGGACTTCAAGAAAGACATTGACGGCAACACCATTATAGTAGGGCATTTTAACACCCCACTGTCAAAAATGGACAGATCTTCCAAACAAAATATCAACAAAGATATTGTGGCATTGAACAATGCCCTAGATGAAATGGGCCTAACTGATATATACAGAGCCCTTTGTCCCAAACAAGCAAAATACACATTCTTTTCAAATGCACATGGAACATTTTCAGATACGCCAGCTGATAGGACACAAAACAAGCCTCAACAAATTCAAGAAAATTGTCATTATACCAAGCATTTTCTCTGACCACAAGGGACTGAAACTAGAAACCAACCCCAAGGGAAAAAACCCAGAACACTCAAAATCATGGAGATTGAATAGCAAGTATAAACAATGAATGGGTCAAAATGAAATTAGGGAAGAAATCAGAAAGTTTCTGGAAACAAATGAAAATGAACTCACAACAACCCAAAACTTATGGGACACAGCCAAGGCAGTCCCTCTCAGGGCTACAGGCCTACCTAAAAAAGATAGAAACATTTCAAACAAACAACCTAACCCTACGCCTACAAGAACTCGAGGGACAACAACAAAGACAGCCCAGAGGAAGTAGAAGAAAGGAAATAACTAAGATCAGAGCAGAATTAAATGACATAGAGACTAAAAGCACAATTCTAAGGATCAATGAATCCAGGAGCTGGTTCTTTGAAAAGATAAACAAAATTGACAAGCCTTTAACCAGGCTCATCAGAGAGAGAGAGACAGAGAGACAGAGAGACAGAGAGAGAAAGGATCCAAATAAACACAATCAGAAATGAAAGAGGAGAGATTACAACTGACACCACAGAAATTCAAAGGGTTGTAAGAAATTACTATGAAGAACGGTATGCCAGAAATTTGAAAACCTAGGTTATATGGACAAATTTCTAGAAAAATATAATCTTCCAAAACTCAATAAAAAAGAAGCAGAAAGCCTGAACAAACCAATAACAGCAGATGAAATTTGAAGCAGTAATCAAAAAACTCCCAACACACAAAAGCCCAGAACCAGAGGGCTTCACAGGAGAATTCTACAAAGCATTTAAGGAAGAGCTAACCCCTAACCTCCACAGACTATTCCAAAAAATTCAAAATGATGGAAGACTCCCAAACTCTTTCTATGAAGTCGACATCATCCTAATCCAAAAACCAGATAAAGACACAACAGAGCAAGAAAACTTCAGGCCAATATCGCTCATGAACATAGATGCTAAAATCCTCAACAAAATATTGGCAAACCGCATCCAACAATACATTAAAAAGATCATACACCATGACCAAGTGGGATTCATCCCAGGGATGCAAGGATGGTTCAATATTCGCAAATCAGTAAATGTAATACATCACATAAACAAAACAAAGGACAAAAATCACATGATCATAATAGATGCGGAAAAAGGATTTGATAAGGTACAGCACCCATTTATGATAAAAACACTCAACAAAGTGGGAATAGAGGGAGCATTCCTCAACATAATAAAGGCCATATATGAGAGACCTACAGCCAGCATCATTCTCAATGGGCAAAAATGAAAACCTTTTCCACTAAGATCAGGAACAAGACAAGGTTGTCCACTTTCACCACTTCTATTCAATATAGTACTGGAAGTTTTAGCCACAGTGACCAGACAAGAAAAGGAAATAAAAGGCATCAAAATCGGAAAGGAGGAAACAAAACTGTCATTGTTTGCAGATGACATGATAGTGTACATGGAAAATCCTATAGACTCCACCCCAAAACTGCTTCACCTAATAAACGAATTTGGCAAAACAGTGGGATACAAAGTCAATATCCAGAAATCAAAGGCATTTTTGTATAGCAACAATGAAACAACAGAAGCAGAAATCAAGAAAAAAATTCCATTCCATATAGCAAAAAGAAAAAATACCTAGGGATAAATCTAACCAAGGAAGTAAAAGACCAGTATACAAGAAAACTACACAACACTGAAGAAAGAAATCAAGGAAGACACAAACAAATGGAAACATATACCACGTTCATGGATTGGAAGAATTAACATCATCAAAATGTCCATGCTACCCAAAGCAATTTACAGAGTCAATGCAATACCTATTAAAGTACCAATGGCATATATCACAGACATAGAACAAACATTTCAAAAAATCTATGTGGAACCATAAACGATCCCAAATAGCTGCTGCAATTTTGAGAAAGAAGAGCAAAATAGGAGGGTATCACAATACCTGATACCAAACTGGATTACAAGGCCACTGTAATCAAAACAGCCTGGTACTGGCATAAGAACAGGCACGTGGACCAATGGGACAAAACAGAGAGCCCAGAAATAAACCCAAGTCTCTATGGTCAATTAATATTTGACAAAGGGGGCAGCAACATAAAATGGAGTAACAATAGTCTCTTTAACAAATGGTGTTGGGAGAACTAAACAGCTATGTGCAAAAAAAGTGAAACTCGAGCACCAACTTACACCATACACAAAAAATAAATTCAAGGTGGATAAAAGATTTAAATATAGCCCTGGCTGGTATAGCTCAGTGGATTGAGCGCGGGCTGTGAACCAGAGTGTCGCAGGTTCGATTCCCAGTCAGGGTACATGCCTGGGTTGTGGGCCATGACCCCCAGCAACCGCACATTGATGTTTCTCTCTCTCTCTCCTTCTCCCTTCCTTCCCTCTCTAAAAATAAATAAATAAAATCTTAAAAAGAAAAACTAAACTAAAATGTAAAAAAAAATAAAAAAAAAGATTTAAATATAAGCCGTGACACCATTAAAGTCCTAGAGGAGAACATAGGCAGGAAAGTCTCAGATATTTCATGCAGCAACATTTTTTACTGCTATGTCCCCCCAGAGCAAGGGACATAAAGGAAAGAATAAACAAATGGGATCTCATCAAAATGAAAAGCTTCCGCACAGCTAAAGAAAACACTATTAAAATAAAAAAGAGAACCAACTGTATGGGAAAACATATTTGCCAATGATACCTCAGACAAGGGTTTAATCTCCAAAATATATAAAGAACTTACACAACTCCACTCTAAGAAGACAAGCAACCCAGTTAAAAAATGGACAAAGGACTTGAACAGACACTTCCCCAAGGAGGACATACAGAGGATCCAGAGACACATGAAAAGATGCTCAATATCGCTAGCTATCAGAGAGATGCAAATTAAAACCACAATGAAATACCACTTCACACCAGTCAGAATGGCCATCATAAACAAAGCAACAAACAACAAGTGTTGGAGAGGTTGTGGAGAAAAGGGGACCCTAGTGCATTGTTGGTGGGACTGCAGACTGGCACAACCACTATGGAAAACAGTATGGAATTTTCTCAAAAACTAAAAATGAATCTGTCTTTTGACCCAGAAATTCCACTGCTAGGATTATATCCTAAGAACCTTGAAACACCAGTCCAAAAGAACCTATGCACCCCAATGTTCATAGCAGCACAATTGAAAATAGCTAAGTGTTGGAAGCAACCTAGGTGCCCATCAGTAAATGAATGGATCAAAAAACTATAATACATTTACACGATCGACTTCTATGCAGCAGAAAGAAAGAAGGAGCTCCTACCCTTTGCAACAGCATGGATAGAACTGGAGAGCTTTATGCTGAGTGAAATAAGCCGTGTGGTAAAAGACAAATACCATACGATCTCACCTTTAACAGGAAGCTAAAGAACAAAACAAAGAAACAAGCAAAATATAACCAAAGACACTGAAATAGAGAACAGGCTGATAGTGACCAGAGGGGAGAAGGAAGAGAATTTTAGGGGAAAAGGGGGAGGGTTTACAGGAACAAGTATAAAAGACACACCGACAAAAACTAGGGGGGAGTGGAAATTGGAGGGAGGTGGGGAGGGCTTGGTGGATGGGCTGGGATGAGAGTAAAAGACAGAAAAATGTACTTGAACAACAATTAAAATAAAAATTTTTAAAAAATCCCCTATCACCATTTCCAAAAAAACCCCAACAAATTGAGATAGTGCTTGCAATGTAAATGTGTTTGCCTAACCCACCTTTGAAGATTATCTAAGAAAACAATTTCACAAAAGAAAAAAATGCTACCTCTTTAAAAATTTATTTGCAATGTTATCTATGCTCCCAAATAATCTGAAATGATCTAACTATATAATAATGAAAGGATTCAGTTAATTATAACACAGCTATTGAAAGTGGTAGGTATGTTAAAGTGAAAACCCAGAAAAGCCTCGAAGAAAATGTTAGAAAATAAAAAGGAGCCATTTTAAAACCATATACAGTAGTTGAAAACACAGAAAAATACATGTACATATAAAAACGACCTAAAGTTAATATGTAAAAATTTAAATGGTGATGTTAGAATGGAACGTGAATAAAATTCCCTGGTATTGAATAAGATGAATTCTTTCTCTCCCGAAATCCAAAAGTAAAGGCATTGGAAAGATAAGTTGTAGGAAAGAGAGAAATGGGGCAGGGGAAACAGCCTAGACAGAAGCAATCCCTTACCTTGAATTAGGGACTTTCGGCTGAGGTTCTGAAGGTCTGAAGGTCTGAAGGTCTGAACTCCACACCACCACCTCTCCTGGGCTTCACTTCCTCCTGAAGTGTGTTTGAGCACACAGACTCTGCATTTTTATAGTCCTCCAGACGTAGTCTCCACCCACACTCACGCTCTGGACCCCACTAATTGGATCAACTAAATCCACTAAATCCAATCAAGTAAACTTAATCCTATTTCTTGGCCAACTTGAATCTACTGCCTGTGCTCTTTTTTTAACTCTTCAAATGCAATCAACATTCAATATTATACTAGTTTCAGGTATACAGAATAGAGGTTAGACATTTATATAACTTATGAAGTGATTCCCCATAACTCTCATACCCATCTGACATCATATGTAGTTATCTCAATATTATTGACTATATTCCCTGTGCTATATTTCACATCTTTGTGACTATTTTGCAACTGCCAATGTGTACTTTTAATCCCTTGAATTTTTTCACCCAGCTTCCCAACCTCCTCCCTATATCTTAATACCCACAGTACAACATAACAAAAATGTGCACGAAGATTTTTTTATTTTTTAGAGTAATTTTAAATTTTCATTAATGTTTCTACAAGGTAAGATTAAATCACAAAGTAAGTTCAATTCCATAGGTTCCTGATTAAAAATAAAATGGACTTTCACACATGCTGGTAAGATAAGAGGCTTGCAAAGCAAATTGGGCCCTTCTGGTACTGATTCCCGGGTGGATAGGTTTGTGTACGTTCTAGGACCCTGTGAGTCTCTCCAATGAACTCTCCTGTGATAATGGGAGTTTCTCCCACCCCGGCAACCCCCACAGGTGTTTTCAGTCAGAGGTTTTGAGACTTTATTTCCCCACAACTGGAACCCTGGGTTGTGTAGCCTGTCTCGCTCCCCAATTGTTCCTCCTGGTTTATCCACACAAGAATGTAGGACCATCCCGTCCTCCAGCCACCACCTTGCTATTGCCATGTGTCTTCTCTGCCCCAGCTGCCTGTCTCTGCCCCTCCTACCACGTGAGGTGTTCCACCCAGAGCCCTGCCCCCGGCCATCAAAGACATAATCTGCTTGGGGAGGAAAGGTAGCCAATCTCTCAAAGGAGAAGGGCCTTGAGAACATTCCCAATGGGCTTTTATTGGGTTTAATTTGCATAGGAATGCAGGGAAAGCTCATCAATCATTGTCAGGCAGTAATAATCAAACAATAGATAGCATTCAAAGAACTATGAGGGCTTATTCTGAGTGAGGGTCAGATAGCTAAAAGGGCCATAAAACTTTGGGAAACAAATTCATTTTATGTTTGAACCCTTATCAGAAAATTGAGGGCATTCTTAGCAAAGCAGATTTCACAGGATTTTATGCATTCTTTCTTAGGCCTGATCAACCTGGGGAACCACCCATTCCTGCCCACAAAGCAGATTTCACAGGATTTTATGCATTCTTTCTTAGGCCTGATCGACCTGGGGAACCACCCATTCCTGCCCAGGGCTATACCACCCTCTGTCATTGTTTTAGGCTTAAGTCAGGTGGGGGGAGTAAGACAGCCAAGAGATTAGGAAACTTCTTACAGACAGAATGAGTATTCAGGCTCTGTCAAAGCTGAGGGGTGAGGGTCTATCACCCCTTTTTTCTATAGTCCCCAAAGTCCTTCCCTGATGTCCCCATCACAACCATGCCTGTCTCAGCCTTCCCTTTCTTGAGGAATCTTACCAGCCATTGGCTACTAGTCACCTGCCTAGGGCCAAGCAGGGTGAAGTAAAGGGGGCAGAGGTGGTAGGTACCCCTGTTGGGAAACTAAGTTTTGTCTCCTTAGTGGCTTATGGTCCCCAGCTCTCTCACTGAGCCTTAGCCATGGGGGGCAGGGGCAGGTTACAGCTTCTGCAATTAAGCAGGGCAGTTCCCAACACTACCAGTCTGGATGAATATATCTTCTTTAACTCCTCGGTTGTCAGACTTCCATACAGTTCGATTTTATGGCAGTTCTAGTTGGTTTTTGTTTTTAAATTGTTTGTTGTCCATTTTTTTTCGGTTTCGTGAGGAAGCAAAGCAACCTATGCCTCCATTTGGCCAAAAAGCCTAATGCTCATTTCTTAAAATAACATCAAAGACCTCTGAAAGCAATGTCAGCTAATTTATGTGAAAGGAATGGAGGAAACTATTATAACCTTACTTTCCTATCAAGGCCCTCCTCCCACCTAAAACTTTTGCAATTATCTATGACTATCAATGACTATAAGAAGTGTCCAACAAAGATGAGATGCTAGTTTGTAATGAATTTATTTATTAATTCAGGTATTCCTACCACAAATAATGTATCCCATGCTCCTATGATAGGTGCCAACAAGACACCTAAAGTGCAATGTAAGGGTTCTGTAATTCTGGAACTTAGAAGGATCTGGGCTTACAGACATGGATGCAAAAGGGATTAGCATGTAAATGCAAGTGGTAGCTAGGAGACAGAGAAGTGATTGGCATGGCCCATGAAAGCTGTACAGAGTGAGAAAGGAGGGTCTAGGGCAGAACTCTGAAAAACACCAGCATTTGGAGGAAGAGGAAAAGCAAAAGAAGTTACGTCAAAGACGGTGAAGAAAAAGACCCCCCAATAACCAATAGCCCAATTCTGGAGTCCAAAGGCCTCCAGTCCAGTGGAGACAACTCTGAGAATGCCAAGCAATGCAGCCTTACCGACCTTGGGTATCAGGCCAGAAAAAGCCAGAGCTAGGAGTTCTAAGAGATTGTGGAATTGGCCAGAGTCCTGAAGAAGTTTGTCCTAAATGGACAAAGAAGTTTGGAAAAATAAATATGATGTAGTATATTTATGAAGTGGGAAAGGCCAGTCAGGCCACACACACTGCAAAATAGAGGTCAGAGCAAAGCCCCTAATCTAAGGACACAAATCCAGACAGGAAGGAAGATTGGCCAAGGGTGAGTGTGGGTGTGCCTACTTAAATTATAAAATCTCAGTGTAAGTAAGGACTATACACAGTTTATATATAATATCTCTCTTTTCCTCAAGAACTTATTCTAGGGAAATTCTTTTTTAAAAAATATTTGTTACTGATATCGACCGAGTTCTCCTTTGCTAGTATTAAATAATGAGCAGTACATTCGAAATTGTCTTTTTGCTTATTAAGTAATCACAGTTTTAAAATTTTTAGCAAAACTACCCAGATGCCTGTCTCTTCTGAAATAAAATATTTAACTAATTTTTCACACCCTTTGGGGCTGTTAGAAAGTGATAACTAAGTTTTGGGTGAGATATTATTCAAAAATATAAAAATGTTTTATTTTTTATTTTTTAGAGATTTTATTTATTTATTTTTAAAGAGAGGAACCTGGCCCACAACCTGTGCATGTGCCCTGACCAGGAATTGAACAGGCAACCTTTTGGTTTGTAGGACAATGCTCAACCCCCTGAGCCACACCAGTCAAAGCAGAATGCAAAAATGTTTCAAAGTAATCAAAAAACACAGTCAACTAATTAAACATGACCTTGCAAGTGCACACTGAAGCCCAAATTAGTGTCACTATAATGTTGAAAAGTCAAACCACGAAGTCCTGGTAGATTCAGCATGTGCTTCTGAAATGCCCAGAGGGCTATCTGTAGGTTACCCAGAGTGATCTTGTTCAAGGAATTAATAAAATATGAAGCACACGGGGTTCAGCACATCATATAACTGAAAGATTATGCCAGGTATTGAAGAAAAGTTTTGAAGTACATATTTTTATACTAAATTTTAAAAGCTTAACGTTCTTTAGTGTCAACGTAGTTCAGATTACGGCAGTTTACTGTGCTGATTCAGCAAAACCGAGTTCTTCCTCTACTGGGCTGGAAAAAACATTCACATCCAGAGTCAAATGTATTCTCAGTCAGTTGCCCCAGCAAAGCTGAAATGCTCCGGAATCTGTGTTGCATACCGCCATCTACCGGGTCTTTTGTGGAACTGCAGCCCCAGTCTTCATTGTTTATGATCTTCACCGTGGTGGCAAGTAGAAACCCAATCAATGAGCATTCCTTGCCTTTGAGCTTGTGGGAGGTTTTATACATATTTTTTAAAAATAAAAATGATAGATGCACACTTATGCTGTTATATTCATTGAGAGACACAGGATGATTTTAAGAATGTTAGGAATAATAGGGTAAAATTAGATAAAAAATTGTTTCACTGGGAGCAAATCAATTTATAAAATTTATAATCACCTTTCTTGGCATCAGATAGAACATACAAAAAGGTATTCAGGGTTATTTTTAAAAATCAAACTCAAAAGCATACAACTTTAATTAAGATGACTGAATTATGTATATGCGAAAGGGAAGAAAATATTCCTACAAGTCTGTTTTATTTGCTCTTCTAGTATTATCAGGCATCAATGGTTCAAATATCAAGAGTCTACAATTGTTCCATCCTCCCCTATTTTATCAACTTCTGGTCATTTCTTGGCAGCAGTGAGGCCAAAGAAAAGGAGATAACACATAATGCTGAGCTGTCACGCCCAGGCTTCTTAGTCAAGCTTGTTGGCAATTCTGAGAGGTTGCTAGGAGAAGAGATTTTGAAATTCAAATAGAATTCCATTATGGATTTAATTCACTAAATCACTAATATTACTAACTGAATACTGGATTTCTTTTTTTTATTATTGACATTCAAATACAGTTGTCTCCATTTCCCCATCACCACTTTCCCCGACCTACCCATGCTCATCACCTCCCACCCTCAATCCCAACCTCCCCCCTCCTTGGCTCCATCCTTGGGTCCCTCATTCATGTTCATTTACGTCCCTTTCTCTTCTTTCCCACGTTATTTCCCTCTTCCCTCCCCTCTAGTTACTGTCAGTTTGTTGTTGATTTCCATGTCTCTGGCTATATCTTGCTTGCCAGTTTGTTTTGTTAATTAAGTTCCACTTATAGGTGAGATCATATGGTATTTGTCTTTCACCACTTGGCTTACTTCACTTAGCATAATACTCTCCAGTTCCATCCATGATGTTGCAAAGGGTAGGAGTTCCTTCTTTCTTTCTGCTGCATAGTATTCCATTGTGTAAATGTACCATAGGTTTTTGA